TCACTCTCCAGCTGGAAGCACTGAAGAGCATCTTTAACCCCTGTGCCATTTCACCCACATACAGATATGCACACAAATATAAACATACTTACCAAAGTATGTTAAAACTCCACGTGTATTTCAACTGCAAACACGTCCCAGAAGTGTGTACACTTCTTAGTCTAATTTTAGAGAAAGCGAGGGCTTCAATAGATGAACGTCTTCAACAGATGAAAAAGTGCTCAAAACATCTGCAAAATATAATGCCTAGTTTTATGCATGAAACTCCTCAGTTTCCAAGAAAACAAGATCATAAAAATCACAAACAGTCAAGCCTAAATTGAAGGAGACTTTTTAAATCTCCCAACCAACAGAAAATTGCAGGCACTTTTAAAGCACCACTGGAACAAAATTTGGGGAGGGAAGGAACATGCAGCAGCAGCTGACCTGTTTCTGTTTGGTTTCTTCTCTGCGGAGGAAACCAAACAACTTTACTTGCTCCCTCCGACCTGTCCTCAACTCACTTTCCAGCTGTTGCGATCCTAGGAAGAGCAGGAGAGCCGCCCTCCACGCTTCCATTCCGGGTCAGCCGGAAGAGGAGATTCCTCTGTTCTCCTCTCTAGAAATCCAGTACTCGCTTGTTTATACACCTTTCGGCTCCGTCGCTCCCCCTCCCGTTGGATGTCAGTATTCAGCAACCATCGATTCCGCTACGCCGGTATTGACGCCTTACTAGTCGCCGGGTGTTACAATACTCATTTCATGGAGCGCCATCTAGTGACATAAGGCTGAAAATCACTGTTCTTGTTTGCACCCATCCCATTGCTGGCAATGGGGAAAAAAAGTCACACATCACGTGACGTCGCCAGTTTGACAGCCATCAAGTGGTTTTCAACACGACCGACCACAGCGATAGTTTCACTTCGGATTGATCTCTGAACTGTTCTTTCGGATCTCCCAGGGATGCACCTATAGGAGGGGTAGGCAACTTTGGCTCTTTTGTGACTCGTGGACTTCAACTCCCAGAATTCCTGAGCTAGCTGTGCTGGCTCAGGAATTCTGGGAGTTGAAGTCCACAAGTCATAAAAGAGCCAAGGTTGTCTACCCCTGACCTATAGTTACCACAACTGAACCAGCGGTTTTGTTTGCAAGAAGCGAGAATTTAAACCAACATGAGGGGAGGGGGCGGGAAACGATGCATACACAAATAGCAACACTACACATCATTTGTGGCTCGGTGAATTCTGTTCCAGCCAATTATTCGTCCTGGGGGGCAAGGATAACTCCTCAAAAGCTATCTTTGCAAACTGAGGGAGGGTTGGGTCTATTTAACTTTGCTAGACTAAGCCGGTTGCTAGGCCCTGAAGTTCACGAAGTTCTTGTTTATGTGTAGCCCTAAATGATTGCCAGCTTCATCCTATTAATAGAAGAGTGAAACCTGCGTTTGAACCACATCTACGTAGGAGGAACTTTAACTGGCTTTCCCTCTGAATATTTTATCTGTATTGTTGGTGAGCTTAAATCTCACTAGAGGGCAGAATTGCTTTGAGCAGCCTTCCAAATCTCCAAAGGAGTTAGATTTGCAGCCTTATAATTCTCAAACAACTTGGGCTAAAGACTTGGAGGAAACTAGTTTGCAGAAAGCTGATCTAAAGATTCCTGTTCCTTTGCAGTGGTGGTTCTTGCCAGAGATCAAATCCTCTCTACATCCTAATATTTATAACTAATTTCTTCTGGCTCCCAAGGAGTTAAGACGTGGGAGAACCAGCAGGGCAGAGACTTCAAAGGAACCCGTTTCATTGATTGATGGTGGTCATGATTGTCTCCAAGCAAATGCCATGTGATTCCATAAAATTCCTTGCAAAGGGTTTCCATTAGATCAAAGCAAGAGTTGGATACACAGCAGGGCCCTAGACAAATGGGGCTTGGAAGGAGGAGGTGACCATCTACATTTGGTTAAAGGAAGTGATAAACCTTTCAAAGAAACATTTCGCAGTTTGCAAAAAGGGTGGTACCATATATGTGCACGCAAAACTATTTTTTAATTAGAAATGTTTCCTGTAATAAAATGTACAAATCAAACAAAAACAAATATAGAAAATAAAATATAAGCAGAAAAAGGCATTGGGGAAAAAGGAAAACCACACAATTCTACCTTTCACCCTTCTTTTGATCAAGTGATTGTCAACACACAGTCCTAGTTCTCTCCTTGGAAACAGAGCCTGGCTTGAAATTCAGGCTCAGAGAAATCCAGGCCAACATTTCCCTTCCATGTTGCTCATCTCTCTGCAGAGGAACAGGGAGATTTTCTTTATGCACAGGTGGTGAGCAGTAACCAGATCCTCAAGGTTGAGTCTCATTTCCGGACTCCATAGGTCAGAAAGGATCCCTGGGAATGAGACAGGACGCACCGACCAAGGTTTTCTCTGCCTGCTGCACAATTCCATCTGAGGCAGCCAAAATGCAAGGACCTTTTTAAGACTGGAGAACCAAGGCAAAATGTTCCTCTGAATGCTCACCCAGTATCCTATGCCAAGCAATGTTTTATTTTTTCCTGTGTTTCACCAACCCCTTTTAAAGGTTTCCACCTTGAAAATGACCTTCCTTCCACCGGTAGATTACATGAATCCAAAAACTGAAGGAAATTATTGTTGTTAGTTGCGAAGTCGTGTCCGACCCATCGCGACCCCATGGACAACGTTCCTCCAGGCCTTCCTGTCCTCTACCATCTTTTGGAGTCCATTTAAGTTCACGCCTACTGCTTCAATGACTCCATCCAGCCACCTCATTCTCTGTCGTCCCCTTCTTCTATTGCCCTCAATCTTTCCCAGCATTAGGCTCCTCTCCAGTGAGTCCTTCCTTCTCATTAGGTGGCCAAAATACTTGAGTTTCAACTTCAGGATCTGGCCTTCTAAAGAGCAGTCAGGGTTGATCTCTTCTAGGACTGACGGGTTTGAACGAAGGAAGGAACAAAGGAAATTAGACAAGGGCAAACAGTTCACCAGTTCACCTTGCCAATCTAAATGAAGGAATTTCATGCAACCACTTCCTAACTGATCTCAGCAGTAAGGAAAGAAACCTCGCATGGGAACATTTTCTCTATGGGTAATTCCACTATTGTTCAGAGATTTAAAATGGGGAATGATTGCAAAAAACAAGAGAATGGCACTGGGTACAGTGAAAGTAGTCCTCAACTTCCCAAAGGTGCTTTTTTCCAAGAGGCAACTGGATTTCCTTGGTTTTTTTTTAAAGACATTTTGCTTTGCATCCAAGAAGCTTCTTCAGTTCTTCAGAGCTGAAGAACTTCTTGGAGGAGAAGCAAAACATCTTCAAAAAAACAAGAAAGTCCAGTTGCCGCTTGAAAAAGCACCTTTGGGACAACCATGACCTGGATGCATGAGAATCTCCGTAAACACTGAGTCCTCAACTTACAATGACAAATCGGTCCAGAATTTTTTTATCCCTGGGTGATGTACTCATAAAAAGCCACTGCATAGCTTAGCATTGCCAATCCATGAAGTCCCAGTTACCTTTGTTAACTGAATCCTACAATAGTTACACAAGGAAACTTCCTGCCAGCTTCCCACAAGAAAAATCACTAGGAAAACCAGCAGGAATCTGGTTGGATGAGGGAGTGACAGAAGTACATGGAGATGGAGGGCAAAGCTGGGAAGGGTGCATGAGAAAGAATTTGCATGAAAGGCACCATGTGTGTCAGGAAAGGCGCACAGGCTGAGCAAGAGGCTCTGCATGAAATCACGGGGAGGGGGGGTATGCAG